GATTTTCCTCCAAAACCTCTGGGAGGCACTTGCTGCTTTGCTTTGCAAAGGAAACCATCCATTTCCACTCAAGCAACTGATAAGAAGCTGGCGAAGCTGCATGTGGTTCTTCATCATTATGACCTGTAGTCCAAATGGTTGAGAGTCAGCCAAATGCTTCAGCCTAACTAGGTTCACTAGAGGACTGGGCTAAAGGCCTAGAAAACCATTAACAGATGCAACAGAGACACTGAACAGTAACCAAAAGGATTTATTTGTGAACAAGGTGGTTTTGGCTTGACGTGGACCCAAACTCTGCCAAAATAAAACAATAAATAAATCAGCCAATATGTCAGTCACATAAAACAGAGCACTGTAGGTGTAACCAATCATATAGTGAATATGTTTCTCCAGGTTTCATCATTCAGTATCAAACAGATCCTTCTGTCTATTCCACTCTCGTTCTCCTCTCTCTCTCTCGCTCACAGGTGGCGGTGCCAGATCTGCTCGACGCAGCCAAGAGCGCTGATATTCTGCTCTTTGTGATTCCACATCAGTTCATCGGTCGTGTTTGTGACACCATGAAGGGCAAAATCAATCCGGATGCGCTGGGAATGTCACTCATCAAGGTCCCGTACACTCATATGCACTGTGTGCCATTTCCTCAGCAGTCTTACATTGAGGGAAAAAGAGGAAAGTTGCTAATATCACATTTGACACCGATAGCTAGCGATGACTCTGCATATGGTTGGTTTAGGGGGTGGATGAAGGACCGGACAGACTGAAGCTGATCTCTGAGGTTATTCACGAGAAGCTGGGCATCAAGATGAGCGTGTTGATGGGAGCAAATATCGCCAATGAGGTGGCGGATGAGAAATTCTGTGAAACCACCATTGGTGAGGCTGATGAAAAGCAACGAGAATATGTTAGAGAAGTCATATTTTTGTTTTGGGTGATTATATGCATTTGTGTGTTTCATGTTTGTAAGGCTGCAGAGATCAAGCTCAGGGGGCGCTGCTTAAGGAACTCATGCAGACGCATCACTTCCGGGTCACGGTCGTACAGGAAGCAGATGTGGTTGAGATCTGTGGTGCTCTGAAGGTTTGCTTAATCACACTTCTCCATTTTACACCTCATAACATCAAAGGAATTAGCAGTAGTCAAGTCAAGTCACCTTTATTTATATAGCGCTTTTAACAATACAGATTGTGTCAAAGCAACTGAACAGCATTAATTAGGAAAATAGTGTGTCAATAATGCAAAATGACAATAGTAAACACTAATCTTTCAGTTAAAGACATTTCATCATTGAATTCAGTGATGTCAACATCCAGCTCAGTTTAAATAGTATCTTTGCAATCAAGTCAACGGTATCGCTGGAAATGAAGTGTCCCCAACTAAGCAAGCCAGAGGCGACAGCGGCAAGGAACCAAAACTCCATCGGTGACAGAATGGAGAAAAAACCTTGGGAGAAACCAGGCTCAGTCGGGGGGCCAGTTCTCCTCTGACCAGACGAACCAGCAGTACGGAAAAATCAATTTAAGACGTAATAAAACAGACGATGAACACTATTAACAGCAATTATTATATGATGCAATCAAACTTATAGCAAAATGTGGTAGTTCTGTATGTTGTTTCAGGGTTGGCATCATCTGAGGTCCTCTGAGGGGTTGGCATGCGTTGCACAGTATCGTCAACTCAATAAGAATCTTCGGTAATCCTCAGCAAACTTCGCCAGTTGGTTGAACCGGCTCAATTGGTCCTTTTTGAGCTGGACGTGGTACTTCGGCCTGTGCGTCCTGCGTCATCAAGCCTGAACTAAAGTTCGATTCAGTTCGATTTGTGAACCGGCTCAAAAGAACAATTCGTTCAAGAACCTAGCATCACTAATTAGCAGTGCATATGTAAAACAATTAATATCCAGCATGTTTAACAGTTCAATCGATTTTTAGGTTGGCATGCAATGTTTACGCACATTAACTGAATGAGTTGTTTTATCAACAGCAGCAATAATACTGGTCTGTTTTGTCAGTTTTACAGTGAATTAACATTCTCTTTTGTTGTAAATAAAGTAGGTTAGTACCTTAAGCATGATATACATGTATAAACACATAATGAAACCAGGAGGTCTATACAGTTGCACCTCTAAATTAGCAGTGTTGTTATTATTAACTAAAACTATTAGAATAAATCATTCTAAAGTAACACTACCACTAACAAATTTGTGTTGTCAAATGACTTGAAAAGTGTGCTCATGTTGTCTTTAAAGTCAATTCCAGTTGGTTTGATGTTGTAGCAAATGCAGTGACTTTGACACTTTTGTTGTAATCCAGCTGTAAACATGCTGGACATTATATAGAGCCTCTTTGTCTTCCTCCAGAACATAGTGGCAGTAGGAGCAGGTTTCTGTGACGGTTTGGGTTTCGGTGACAACACAAAGGCTGCGGTGATCAGACTGAGTCTCATGGAGATGATCAGCTTTGCTCGGTCTCTCCTGCAACTTTCTTGGAGAGCTGTGGTGTCGCTGATCTCATTACAACATGCTATGGAGGATGAAATCGGAAAGTCGCGGAGGCCTTCGCCAAGACTGGCAAGGTGAGACAATTCACCCCAAAATGAAAATTATTTATTAATTTGCATGAGAATAAATGCAACGTATACATATGTAAAGCTGATATGTAGCAGTCAATCTAAAAAAATGACTCACGCACTATATTTCAAGTCTTTTAAAGTCATACGATAGCTTTGCGTAGGAAAGTATTTTTATAGTGCAAGTCTTACCCACTGCAGCGGTCAAATCTTATTCATGCTTACATATATTTAAATATGGCATGTCACAGTCCAGGATTATTATAGTTAGCTAAAACTTTAACTAAAACCATTAAAAAATGTCCTTTTTGCTTAGTTGAAATAAAATAAGTGTTAATTAATAATGTTAATACAATAAAATATATATATAAACTTTTATTTCAGATAGTAAAGTCAACATTTGTCATTTTAATTTACTATTTAACATACTAAAATAACTAAAATGAAAACTGAAATAATTTTTTTTTTTAAAAAGCATAGACATGTTTAAAAAAAACTACTAAAAATGACAAAAACAACAATTACTAAAACTAAAATTATTTGAAAATATTAATAAAATTATTCAAAATATGAATAAAAACGAATAGTATCTAAATACCAAAATATCACTGTTACAATCACACTTTGACACAATCTGACATTTTTTTTAAAGAAAATTCAGATTTGGGAGGGGGCGGGTCTGTGTAATGGATTTAAATATAATAAAATATATAATAATAAAATTAGTGCTGTCAAACGATTAATCGCGATTAAACGCATCCAAAATAAACGTTTTTGTTTACATAATATGTGAGTGTGTACTGTGTATATTTATTATGTATATATAAAGACACACATACAGCATATATTTTGAAAATATTTACATGTATATTTATATAAATGATATCATAAATATATATATTGAATATATAAACGTAACATTTCTAATTACATATATACATGCATATGTGTGTGTATTTATATATACATAATAAATATACACAGTACACACTCACATATTATGTAAACAAAAACTTTTACTTTGGATGCGATTAATCGTTTGACAGCACTAAATAAAATCTATAATGTGTCAAACAGAGCTTACTATACTGTCATTGGTAGTCAAAGCATATTCAAATTAACCTGGTCAAAAAAACAGAAGCGATGCATATTGAGTTGCCAAGTTCAAATATATGAGCCCAGCAAAGAGAAAGGGATGTAAAATAGTTTGTCTTCCCCCCAAAAATTTATTTAAACTCCATTTTAGCATGTTTTATTGGCAGGACAAAAAGGGTGCATTGTCGAAGCATCTGTAGCTTAACACATAATGAGAATAGTGTAGGTCAAATAACATACATGATAATACACAAAACAAGAGTGCACATAAAAATAGAGTAAACCAATTTTTCCAGTATATATACACACATTAGCCATCCGATTCTCTGTGTTTCAGTCTCTTGAAGAGCTTGAAAAGGAAATGCTAAATGGTCAGAAACTACAAGGTCCAGCCACAGCCGCTGAAGTTCACAATACTTAAAAACAAAGGCGTACTGGACAGGTAAGACTCAAACTTTGATTTCAGATTCAAACCTCTTGTGCATTTACATTAGGACCAAACATTAAAAACACATCTGAACGTTTTATCTTCCCACAGATTTCCTCTTTTCAATGCAGTGTATGAGATCTGTTATGAGGGTCGGCCTGTTACGGAGTTCACCCACTGCTTGCAGAACCATCCAGAACATCAGTGAAAGAAGGACGAAGCTGCAATACTAAGTATGTGTGAGTGTTTGTGTGCAGTATGCATGTGAGCCCTGCTGAACTCATTTTTAATGAATCTGTCCTTCAGCGCTGTACTTTCAGCCACTTTATTCTGTAGAAAAGCCACAAATGCCAGACTGAGCGCTCCTCTTTAATTGCCACTAAAGCTGTTACCATCCATTCAGAGTGAAACAGTTCTCAAAATCATACTAAAATGAATATTCTCAATATGTAATGTGAAATAAATCACTTTCTATGAGCTATAGCTGTCTAGTTCTTTCAAACAATAAATAGCATTATGAGGGTTGTACAGTATGTGAAGAACCAGACATGACAGTCTGAATGATTTACAGTAGCCCCAAAAAGAATTTGGACACTTAAGATGAAATTAAAAATGAATGTATATATTATGAAGCAATTTATTCTTCACAACCAGAAAGAATCCACTTTTTTAATCCTAATTTTTAACAGTATATCTATTGTTTTAAAATTATGAAAACTGTCAATGTTCTTTTTTGTGCTATGTTTCCTTCAAATAAATATTACTTTATAATACTTGGTTGCAAATGCAAAGACATTCATACTTTTTGGGGCCACTGTATAAAACTGTCTGTAAAAAGGCCATTAGAGGGAGTCACTTTGTCTCTTGGTCTTAAGGAATAAACGGAATAGACTGTCATCCAACCTGAGATGTGTTTCTCTAATAAACAATATTTTGGCATGTGTCCATCAACTCAAAAACATCTTCACTGAAGTCATTATACCTCAGACTGGAAAAAATATGAGAAAAATAATATGTTATCACATGAAGTACATCAATTTGAGATGTGACAAGTGCAATTTTTTTTGGCCAAAATAAATGTACAGTAGAAAATATGTTTTACAGCATAATAAAATATTTTTTTAAATGTAAAATATATTTAGCTTTATTTCTAATGCCAAAACATAATAGAAAATGTATTGCAAAAGGACAAAAAGCACATTTACAACATTAAAATAATTTTTTGGGTTAATACAAAATGTATTTTCCTCTGAAAATAAAAAATGGTAAAACAAATAAATAAAAATAACCAAATAGTAAACAAACGAAAAGTAAACTCATTACATTTTTTTAAATATATTATTATAATTTTTTTTATATTTATATAAATATATTTAAACTTGTATGTTATTAATGTATATTTGGCCATTTTTGTATATTTTAAAATACATTTAAAAACTATGAAAACATTTAAAAACTAAAATATCTGAAAATATATTTTCAGACTGAACTTACTTTAGCTCGGTCATTAGAGGACGGTCCAGCATTAATTTGACCAATCGTGGTACGGAGGAGTCGGTCATTATGTTGTTCTTTAGAATTAGAGTTGATAAAGTGCTGCTGGCAGCAACAGATTCACATAACTCCTCGACGCAAGCATCTGTGAGCGACAACATCTCCAGACTGCAGAAACAAGACGAGACAGGCATGATTCAATCATCAGGTGCGGTTTAATTAGTTTCAGCCCATCTCCAATCATGCTAGTTGCTCCTGTGAGCACATGTGTGAGGATTTTACTCACTCCAGGTGCTGTAGTTTGCAGTGTTTGTGTCTCAGCGCCTCCCAAATGTGTTTGGCTGCAGTTTCGCCCACATCGTTCAGGCCTACCGAGAGACTGACGAGCTTTGACACGCCAGACGTCAAAATACTCCCCAGTGCTCGAAACACCTCCTTGGTCAGCTCACATCTACTCATTCTACACCAAAATACACACACTGCTTAGATTTCACATAATCAACTACTAAGAACTACCAAACACAGAACCTTGTGTCAGATCGATTGTCTTGTCTAGGGGAGACACTGAATCCTAAGGGACAAGTCAGTGGAATAATACACATATGGGGCCACCAAGGGGAGCCACAACATATGGGGCACTAACCCATAATGAGAGTTCACTCGAGGGATACTATTACGGTGGCCGAGAAGTGCAAAACAAATCACAATTCTGAAAACAAAATAACAAATTACAAACGCAAATGCAAGTCTAAAAAAACAAAATAACAATTCAGAAAACACAACAACAATTCAGAAAACATTATAACAAGTCAGAAAACACAATGACAAATTCGAAAACAAAATAAGTCAGAAAACACAACGACAAATCCGAAAACAAATTAACAAGTCAGAAAACACAACGACAAATCAGACAAAGCGAAAGAGGTAGGTATAGTTTGAGACAGCGCCATTGGTTTGGGATTACTCACCGCTGACTGGACGAGACATCTGTCAATCAACGTATACAGGACGAACCAGCCGAAGAACAGCAGAGTCGTGGTAGAAAGTTCGGAGATGGTATTAAAGTAGCTCAGTTTAAATGTATTGTATGAATTGCCCTTACCATGGAATAAAAAATACGGAGTGTCTATTTACACTTAAGTTAAAAGTGGCTGTAAAACATCAGCTCCAGTGACGCAGATGGATAAACTGCATCACTGACGCGATCGACCCGGGTTCGATCCCGCCTTTTGCCGAACTTTTTTTCCCTCCCTTTTCAAATCTCGTATTAGCAATGGATTCTATTTACACTAAGTGAAAATAGCAGTATTTTTAGCAATATGCTATTTACACTATGTTAAAATAGCAGGATTTCTACTATCAAGTATACTAGTTGCAAATAGTGGCCATTATCTGCACTGCAGTATTGTAGTACATTATAAAACAGTATGCAATAATAACGTATTGAGTGTAAATTATAATTTGAAAATAAATGCCTTTACGATGTGATACAAGATTTGAAAAGGGAGAAAAAAAAAGTTCGGCAAAAGGCGGGATCGAACCCGGGTCGATCGCGTCAAAAAGCCAACGACACGCGCTTATCCATCTGAGTCACTGGAGCTGATGTTTTACAGCCACTTTTAACTAAGTGTAAATAGACACTGTATTTTTTATTCCATAGTAAGGGCAATTCATACAATACATTTAAACTGAGCTACTTTAATACCATCTCCGAACTTTCTACCACTACTCTGCTGTTCTTCGGCTGGTTCTTCCTGTATACGTTGATTGACAGATGTCTCGTCCAGTCAGCGGTGAGTAATCCCAAACCAATGGCGCTGTCTCAAACTATATCTACCTCTTCCGGTTTGTCTGATTTGTCGTTGTGTTTTCTGACTTGTTAATTTGTTTTCAGACTTGTCGTTGTGTTTTCTGACTTGTTATTTTGTTTTCTAATTTGTCATTGTGTTTTCTGACTTGTTATAATGTTTTCTGAATTGTTGTTGTGTTTTCTGAATTGTTATTTTGTTTTTTAAACTTGCATTTGCGTTTGTAATTTGTTATTTTGTTTTCAGAATTGTGATTTGTTTTGCACTTCTCGGCCACCGTATACTATGGATTCTAATAGTGAGTTCCTCCGCCAAACTCAGCCATGTAAAAAGTGCTTAAGTGGTGGAAAGGTAGCCCAGAGTTCATAAAAAAAGAACTGAACCTTTACTGACATTTTTTATCAATATTTTACTCAGAAAGGATGCATTATATTGATTTCTTTCAACAAAAAACAATCCTAGTCATCCCAAATTTTTGAGTATTTTCTACTGATCCAACCCAGGAAAAATAACATTAACCAATAATATCATAACCTAACATGCCTCAATTCTGCCCTCCCCACATGATCATCATAAATGTGTTTAAAAACAGCTCATTTGCATACATACTCCAGTATTTCCAGTGTGCATTTAGGAGTCATCAGCACTTCACATATCTGCATCGCTCCTGATTGGCCAAGATCATTTACGGACAGATCCAGCTCAGTCAGACGGCAGTTTTCTGATTGGAGGGCAGCTGCTAGAGAGGAGCAGCAGGAGCCAGTCAACTCACAGTCAGACACACTGTAATTAAAACAATAAAACACATGATCAATCATACAAAATCCCATATCTAATCAGTATTTCAATAAAAAGGCTTTACACAAATGGCTATTAGTAGATTCAAATAAGTGCAGTTAACCTCTTGAATTCTATAGACAATTGCAACCATCTCAAACTTATATATATAATTTATTTGTTTTTTGAAAGCAATTAATATTTTTATTCAGCAAGGATGGATTAAATTGATCAAAAGTGACAGTAAAGATTTAACATTTTAAAGAAACGCTGCTCTTTTGAACTTTCTTTTCATCAAAGACTCATGGTTTCTACAAAAATATTAAGCAACACAACTGTTTTCAACATTCTTGAGAAAGACTTAGAATGATTTCTGAAGGATCACGTGACACTGAAGACTCGAGTAATGATGCTGACAATTCAGCTTCACATCACAGGAATAAATTATATTTAAAAAAATATATATATTCAAATAGAAAACAGTTGTTTTAAACTATAACAGATATTTGCTTTTCCGAGGTGTTTAGAGGTGGTTTTTAGGCATATGTGTTGGTCACCTAAACAGAGAATGTGTGTATTACTTCAATGTGTTGAGGCGGCCTTTCTGTAACACTCGTGAGATCAGCTCTATCCCATCATCCATCACTGCGTTCCGGCTCAGGCTTAGCTTCCTCAGCTCTGAAAAGCTGCTGTTCAGAGCTGAAGACAGCGCAGGCATGGATGCCACCGTCAGTGAGCATAAATCCAGACTGTAGAATACAACAAAACAGCAGTTAACTTACCACATGGCTTTCAATTCTGTTTCCAAAAAGACTGACTGATATATGAATAGTGCAAGTGTACTTGATTTCCTGTAGTCTGCAGTTTTCCAGGGCACTGCTGAGGTGAATAAGGCCTTGATCCTCCAGATTATTCCCACACAGATTGAGCACACGCAGCCGTGAGCCTCCAGAGAGCATCTGAGCCAGAGCTTCACAATCAGCTGTAGTCAATGAGCATCCACACAAGCTGAACAAAGAGATGACATATTTCAGCAAGTGTTTGAGCAAAAGCAAGCACCGAGAATGATTAGGGTGACCATACGTCCTTTTTTTCCTTAGCCAGGATTCACAAATTGCCTAAAATGTCCAGGTTTTGACTTTGTTTACTTACTGTTTTCATACTTGCTGAAGGTTATGACTGAAAAGTCAATAGCGTGCAAGCACTGTGCATAATAGACCAATAGTGGCTTGCAAGAGAGCGTGTTAATAGAAAAACAAAGCCAAAACCTGGACATTTTAGGCAATTTAGAAATCCCAGGCCAGGACATGTCTGGGAAAAAGTGGAAGTATGGTCACCTTAAAAATGATTTAACCCAGTGTATCAAAAAAGTACATTACTGTGGCACAGCCACATAAAAGACGAAGGTTTGAGTCACAGTCTCATTCCTAATATGATGCTGTCCTGTCTAATAAAGGCACGTACATAAAAAATAATCTTACTTGAGCGACTCCAGCGTGGAGCGCATGAGTGCATGGCAGAGGGTTTTGACCGAATCTTTTTTCAGTGTGGAGTGTGAAAGATCCAGCGTTATCGTCCGTCCCTCAGCCAGCGCTGTTGACAGGTTGGTGATGGCAGTCAAACTGAGACGACTCTGTGACAGACTGACAGGATAAATGGCACATTAGACCCCACTGACTTAATTTGTATGGACAAAAAACAGAATTTTAAAAATAAATTTGGTGTTGTAAGCTTTTTTTTTTAAATATTTATAGATTTATTCATCAAGGATGCCTTAAATTGATCAAAAGCGACACTAAAGACATAATGTTACAAAGTTTTCTATTTCAAATAAATGCTGCACTGTTGAATTTTATTCATCAAAGAATCCTGAAAAACAAAATGCAACACTGTTTCCACAAAGATATAAAGCAGTACATCTGTTTTCAACATTGATAATAATAAGAAATATTTTTTGAGCAGCAAATATTATATATAGCTGTATATATTACAGAATATTAGAATGATTTCTGAAGGATCATGTGACACCGATGCTGAAAATTCAGCTTTGATCACATGAATAAATTACATTTTAAAATATATTCACATAGAAAACAGTTATTTTATATCGTAAAACTATTTCACAATATTACTGCTTTTACTGTATTTTTGATCAAATAAATGCAGCCTTGGTGAGCATAAGAGACTTCTTTCAAAAACATTAATAAAATATTACTTTAGAATGGTAGTGTATCTTATTTTGTGTTCCACAGAGGAAATAATGTCCTAAAGGGTTTGGAACGTCGTGAGTAAAGGAATATATATTTTTGGTGAACTATCCTTTAAAAGGACAATTTATATGCTACCAAGTTGATCACAAAAAACATAGATACACATTTTTACAGTAGATCATTTACAGTCACTTGTACAACTTCATTGCCATTAAAACATAACAACATAAAACCATAAAAAGACTGTAAACAAAGAAACAAACAATTTTGCATATCAAATAATACTCAAGGTTGTAAATGTTTTAATAAATTTATACGCATCACATTTCTTCCTATAAAAATCCTCCGAAAAATTGGGCCCATCGTTTTAAAGTGATCAAAAGTGCCAGTAAAGCATTTTTTAACATTACAAAAGATTTCTATTTCAAATAGATGCTGTTCTTCTGAACTTTCTATTAATCAAAGAATCCTGAAAAAAGTCAGTCATCAGTTTCCTCAAAAATATCAAGCAGCAAAACTTTCTTCAACATTGATAATGTAGTGTAAGTGCCATAAGTTGAGTGTGAGGCAGTCAGGAGTGATTAAAGCAATAAAAGTAAAAAATGCATCTTGTGCATATCTAAAATGTCAGACTCACCCAATGCTTTTTGACAGCCGTAACGCTGGTATAAGCCTCTCGACGTGTTCGTCTGTTAGTTCTGCTCTGTACAGGTTCATATGCTCCATCTCTCCCATACAACTCACTACATATGACAGCGCAGCGCAGTCAGGCTCCTGCATGGAGCTGTACCAAACAGGCCTCCACTGGCTCTTACTAATGCTTTCTTTGACCAGAGATGAGTTACGTGCATGTTGCAGAAGCCGAAAAACACGAAAGTGCTTCGTTGCATCACCATCTGGCAACACCCTAGAAACATTTCCCATTAACCACTGAGAGAACGCAGATATTCGGCTTTCATCGACCTTTCCCATGGAGTCTTCTATTGGTTTACGCTGGATCGAGTCCGACAGCCCTGCTAAAAATGTGTAGTACAAATCTGAGCGCTTGTCTGAGATCTCCTGCACGGATTGGTCGAGATAAAAGGAGGCGGCCAATAAGAACTCATGCATCACTGGAGACAGAAAGGAGAATGTGGTATCAGGGTGAGTGAGATCACCATTGATACCCAAAAAAGCTGAAAGCATGGGGTTGTGCAGAAAAGAACGCAGGCCGCAGGATGTGACGTCGCTGCAGGAGCAAACCGGATTGGTAAGTTTTCCCAAACTGGACACAAGCACTCTGGTTTGTTCTGCATGCATCTTCTGTTTCTGCAGGAGCATGTGTGTGATAACGCTGAGCAGGTGAGTAAGAGTCTCAGATGGGGTGTTTTTATTCTCAAAATTAGTTTTAAACACATTGCAAAGCGTCCAGCAGAAGGCCGGACGAAAACACTGCTCGTACACTCCCAACGCCTGCTCACATTGGCGAAAAAGTCTCTCTGCTTGGCCTCTGTCGTCAAAGAACTGCTGGAAGAACGTTCTCCTCTGGGTCTGGGAGAACCCGACCACCTCAAAACATCTCAAAGACTCGACTGGCTCTCGGGAGGTGATCAGCACTGAAGCCTCAGCAAGCAGAGATCCGTGAAGTAGACTGCACAGCAAGACCGAGCCGGACGCTTCTTGTTGTACATCACATATAAGACTAGATGAAGACAATGGAGTGCATAGAAGGTTCTGCAATCGCTCCAATCCATCAAGCACAAGAAGCAGAGATTGAGGCCTCTGTAGAGCGACGGCGAGAGTCTCTGTGGAAATGTGAGTGTGTATGCAGCCCAACATGTTCTGCAAACTCTCTGCTTTCTCTCCAAGAGCGGCCAGCTCCCAAACCGGCACTCGCATGAGGAGGGCGTAACGTTGCAGGCGCGCACCTGTCGTCCAATCCCAAATGACCTTTTCTACCGCTGTAGTCTTACCCATTCCAACACCACCATAAAGAACCAGCCTACGGCCTTCAGATCCTGGAGAAAACTCTCGAGATATGACATCCTATAAAGCTTCCCGATCTCCTCTGTTAACCCTTGTGTGGTCGTCCTCATACGCACACACTGAGAGGGCCGTGTAGTGGCCTTTCTGGATCACCTCTCGCACAGGCAGACCTCCCAAAAGAGAATTGGGCAGAGTTGAGTTCAGCACAGAGTTTCTCAAAGTCTCCTTATGTGTTTGCTGCTGATCTGTGGAAAAAGAAATGATAAGAATTAATGAAGAAGTACTTCATTACATCACGTCCATCTATCTATCTATCTATCTATCTATCTATCTATCCATTCAGAAATTATTTTGAGAGAACGCAGATATTCGGCTTTCATCAAACTTCCCACAAAGTCTTCTATTGGTTTACACTGGATTGAGTCCGACAGCCCTGCTAAAAATGTGTAGTACAAATCTGAGCGCTTTTGATACATATACATAGAGAGAGAGAGAGCTTGACAAAAGGCTTGTTTTCTTGTTTCGAAAAAAGTTTTAAAAGCCTAAAGTTAAGGTTTATAGCCATATAGATAGATAGACAGACAGACAGACAGACAGACAGACAGACAGACAGACAGACAGATAGATATA